ATCTGGGGGGCTTTTTGGTGGCTTTGGGTTTTCTTTTGTTCAGCTTCTCCAAGGCTGCTATCACTGGAAGCTGAAAAAAGCCCGTACAATAGCAGTGTAATCTGTAAGGTGTTTCCATGTTCAACAGTAGGCTGTTGCTGTTGGGGGGGGAGGAATTGGTTGTTTTGTGGGTTGGTTTTGTTTTAAAGCCTGAAACCTACAAGTCAGTGCCTCTTATGAGCTGAGGGCGACACAGGAACTGAACCATTGCCTGCCCTGGAAAGGTGAAAACAAATAAGATGGGAATTACAGCTCCTTGCTGTCCAACCCCTGTCTAGACTGTGTCCTCACTGATCTCTCCTCTGGGGATGGAGTGGAGCCACATTAGTTTCTCTTTCTCATTTCCCTCACCTTCCTTTAGAAAGTGAGGTTATGTCTTTGCAGAGAGGGAGAAGAAAGTGCTTCAGTGTGTGTGATTACAGTGCATTCCTCTGTACAAACACAGGCACTTTAGTCTTGCCATAAGGAAAACTAAACAATACCAAGTGAGGGTAATGAGGATGAAACACTCACCTTGCCCAGCTGCCTCGCTGTAAAAGCTCTCTGTGCTTCGCTTCTGCTTCTGTTTTTGAATGTAAGACAAGTAGAGCATAATAGGTATTTTCCCATTAAAAAAATGCTAGCCAACAATCCAGAACTTCTTTTATGCTGATGCAGAAAAAAGCATGGAAAAGGTGGACGTTGTCTCTTAACAAAGAGGGGTATGTATCACATAGCTCCGCTTCTTGTCTGATTACCCACTGAAGCGCACAACACAGAGCAAGGAAGAGGAGGGCAAACTGAAGTTTTCTGAAGAGTGGAGGTAGCTTAACCTGCACCTCAGAAGCCACCCAATGTGATGCACATGCATTTCCTGCACAGAGCATGTCATGAATTAGGAAGAAGTGCTTTGAAAACACTGCCCCAGTTGACATTGTTGGCTGAATACAAATCTTAGTCTAGACATTTAGAAAAGAAGGAAGAATGTGGCACAGTGAGGGACCATGGCAAGGTGGAGAAGCCTGTTTCAGTGATGCACACTGTTACTGGCCCCTCCATTTCAGAGAGGCACTGCTCCCCAGGCAGGATGAGAAGAGACCCATGTGACTGTGCCCACCTCCTCTGGCACACCAGATCTGTCACGTCAGACACCCAAGGAGCAGTAGTTCATGATCTGCCAGTTCCAAGGCTGCTGCACACTGTATCTGCTCTGGAAAAGAAAAACCGTGACCTCTTGTCAAACCTACTGGGCAAGCCTTGGGTTTAAAACAGTACAAGCTGCTCCATCCAAGACCTCTCTTTCCAAATGTAGCTGTGTTTTTCCAGCTCTGTGTTTGCTGGCAGAAGACAATTAAAAACCCTTTCATAGATCTCATTCATGTTTCAGTGTTTTAAAGAAAATGTCTTCATTGGTTTTCATACGAAGCCCAGATATTTACTCTTAAAGACAAGTTTTGGTGCCTTCAGGACTTCCTAAGCTACTTCTGAGATACACATTGGTATTTTACAGCAAAGCAAAAGTTACTTACAAGCAAGTGCACCACGCAAGCAGCCTGGGCAGTCAGTGCATCTTCAGATGTTGAAATTGTCAGGCATCCAAAGCAACCTCTCACTTTGGACAAAAAACATGTTTCTCACAGGAAAAAACTTATTTTCCTTGCTAACATATTACCATCAGGATCTTTTCAAACACTTGTATGGATGTCTTTGTATTCTGCTTAAAATAAACCTTTTCCACTGGAACAGATTTGATATCAGAAAAGAGCGAATGTGACCTAATAAGTTTACTTGGAAAGGATGCTATTACTGAAGATATTTATTTATGAATAAGACTCCCAGCCCAGTATCGAGTTCCCTTTGATCCTCCAGTGAAGTCAAATGCTATGTTTATTACAGCAGGGTTTTTTTGCAATGGAAAATACTGTGATGTGGCAAATCCATCATCGTGGCTCAAAGGCTGGCTCAGGAGAGGGTCTCTGAGAGGAAATAGCTCTCATTTATACTCAAATGCTGGCCAATGAAAGAGGAAAAAGTTGATGATAAATGGCTGCTTTAAAACTTGGGGGTTTAAGCAGATGTCCCTCATTTGGTGGAGCTGTGCTGTCTGCCTCCCTAACCTTTCAGGATCATCTCATCACTTCCCAGTGCCCATGCACAGCTAGGACATTAGCTAATCAAAGCTCTCAATGCTGTTTTGTGTCGTGTGAGTCAGTCCTTGCCCCTAAGCAAACACGCACAGCTTACATCACCTCAGCATGCTCTCAGCAAAGCATTATGGCTCCCTGTTCGGTCCCAGCAGTTAGGTGCTTGATCACAGGAATTGCCTCACTCTTTCTCTAGTAAGTCCCACTTCATTCCCTTGTTAGTCAGATAATCTCTCTATTCATAGGGAAAGAAAAATAACCCCTGGTACTCCATGTAGACAGGGTAAACTGGCCTTTCCTCAGTCTGTATTTCTCACCACGAGGTTTGAAAATGAGTGGAGGAGTTCTGTTCAGTGCTGTACGAAACACTGCCCATTTTTAGGAGTTGTAAAGAACTAAGAGGAATTCTACCCTGCAGCTGAATTTTGCTGGGGTTGTCTGTAACCCCACACGAAGGATGTTGCCCTTGCCTGTGTGCCTGTGTGCTGCGTAACTTACATGGTGGTGTATGTCTGTTCCTCTTGCATCATCTGTAGGGTGGGTTTGCTTTTTATTCTGTCTGGTTCATGATGTGCATCTAAAGCTGTTGTCACTACTTTGGAATACAGTTGGGTCCACAAATTAACATGGAGACTCTCATTCTGGTTTTGCTGATGAAAGTATAAAACCCATCTATAATGAAGCACACCCCCAAGCATAGTAGGGAAGAGGATTATCACACCTGAATGTGTGCACAGATGCAGGTGTTTGAATTGCACAGGAAAATAAAAGCCCAGTTCCTGACTTTCTAAAGCCCCTTGGCACGCTGAAGCCACAAAATCTGGTCAGATGATGAACCCTCCTTCTGTGAAGTACAGCCACAGCTAGCAAGCTGTACCTGCATGAGGGCACTGGAGGGGCAGGGTGGGCTATAGCTAAGTGCTGTTTGTGTTTCAAACAGCATGTATTATCTTCAAGTTACTCACTGTTTAGAGCAGACGCATGTTTGGACCAGTATGAACTGGGATAGAATCCAGCATCACACTGGGTCAGGATACAGAGCCACAGCTTTTCTGGATATTACTGGGGGAAAGCCGAGTGACCAGGCCAGGATGTCTCAGCCACTGTTCTGGGAAATACAAAATCAGTAAAACTGACAATCAAGTGATAGTTGTGCATTTAGGGCAAATGGTCTGTAAAATGCATCCCTGGGTGAGCCTGGGGGCAGACGGGAGCCTGATGAGATACTCACAGAGCAACTTGTCTTTACGAAACAGGTACAAGCTGTGGGTTGACACCTGTTCTGAAATATTTGGTGGTTTGGACATCTGTGCTGTTAAAGCTGTGCATGGAAAGGATGGAAAAGATTATATTTTTGAGGTAAGCAATCCTCTCTTTTCAATATATGCTTTTATATATTACAACCCCCCCCCAAGTAAAGAACGTTCCTGATAGATAGGCAGTGGCTTGTTTGTGTTTCAGGAAGGGCTGTGTATTTTGGAGCAACGTTTGCATCATCATACAAAGCCACATGTCCGAGGTAGTGGCAGCACTTGCTGGAAAATGTAACCATATGGCTGGTAATGTCTTTTAGTGTTTGAGGAAATGTACACAAACTGCAAAACAAAACCAAATGTGGATGTCATATTTTCCCAGCCCTTACGATCCCTTTCCTGAGCAGGCTTAGCAGTTTTTCCTGGAAGGTTTATAGATAGCACTATCCCAAGGGAACCCCAACAAAATTATACCTTTACATGGAGAGGGAAATTAAGGATGAAGTGGAAACAACTTTACTTTTTTCTAATCTAAGTTTTACCATTAAGATCTGACTCCTTCTGAATCAGAAGTTTCTGCTGTGGGTAGTTTTGTGAAGTTTTTCATTTACCTGGAGTTTATTATGGCTAAAGATAACTTTGGCCATAAACAACCTATCATGGGCCTATCACACAATTCAGGATTTCTTCAGCATCTTTCATGTTCTTACAGTTTTATTCAGGAGGTAGGCAAGGGTCCTCAGAACCTCCCCACTCCAAAAGAGGTTGATTTTTGCTAAAGAGAGTGTTTGCTAAAGAGAGTAAATAAGAGTATTTTTTCTAAGCCATGAGAGTAACCTGGAGATGATGGGTTAACCCTTTCTCGTTCTTTGTGTCCGTTTCTAACAGAAGAGCTGTGTAGAAGTGACACTCTTTGTTTTGTCACAGTGTCAAACAGCTCATTTCCTTCTCTTCTGGTTTCACAAATGTATTTATCACTGTTGCAATTGCTGATAATTCCTGTATCAATCAATGCCACTTCAAAGCACTGAGCAGGCTGCAGCATTAAACCGTCAGCAAAACGGGCAGCACTAATCCCTACCTCCTGAGACACTGAGGAAGAGTTCAAGAAACCCCATTTCCTTGGCCAGATCAGAGCTCACTGTGCCTTACTGATTGTCAGAACTCACCATAGCATAGAATTTAGGATTCCATACAGAGCCTCCTCTGTTGCTTCTCCACATAGGAGCAGTCTTTCCCTTGCACCGCACCCCAAGATTCCTGTAATGCTTGACCCAGTGAAACCTGGATGAGATGCGAGTGACCGCTCTGACTTCTGGTGATACAATATAGAGGAGGTTCCTGAACACAAGACTTGTCCTGTGTGCTGCTTCACAGCTTGGGGGCAGCCCTGTGTGCAGCTCAGGCATACCTGCAGACTGGGAAGGTACTGACTGCTGCTCACAAGTAAGCTCCTCTCTGGCAGCTGGGCTTTGGCAGCCTCCCTTGTGCCATTTAAAGCTTTGTGAGATCTGCAGTTCCCATGGCCCTTAAACGTCTGCAAGGATGGATCTCAGCGTTTTCTGCATGCACCCATCTGTACCTATGAGATAGTTCATGCTGATTTGGCTGGCCTTAGTCCAATAAATATCAACCCCACTACTTAAACTATAAAATAAATGTAGATGACTTTGAGACATAAGATCTTAGTTGTCTTACCTCATACGATAGTAGTTCAAAACTGAAAGATTGCATGCAGGAAGATACAAAACTAGAGTAGGATTGCAGGGTTTTGAGAATGAAATAGCCAGTGCAAACTGACCATGAGACCACCTCACTGCCTGCTTCAGAATAAATCCCCAGTTTTCCATGCGAGAGACTGTCATGTATTTAAAGACCAGAATCCTAAGGACTGCAGGAGACGTGACGAACTGGGTTTGTGGGGCATTTTAAGTAGAGTACATAATAGATGTTGCAACTAAAAGAGTGGATGGAGAGTGATAATTCTTGCTGTTCTGTAGAATCAGATGAGTTGTTTGGAAGATGGTAATGCACACCAGCAAGAGCATTTAGAATCTGTACAAGACACTGAAATGTAGAACTGTTTGCACAGTTCACATCCAACACAACATCTACAGAATTTATGATCATTTGCTACTAAAATGCCATCTTACATCAACAGTTATTACAGTATAATTTTAGCAGTTATTGCACTATAATTCCATCGTACAACAAAGAGTACAAGACTGTCTGCACCAGTGGAAGGGAAAAATACTGCCTTTTGTCTACTCTCAGCATGGGAAAATAAATGTGTTATTAAAGCCAGCACGTATGTGCTGCATTGAAAGAGCCAGCGGTTGAGCAGGACAGTCAGTCCATAAATACTGGGTTTACCTAGTTCTGCAGGGAACACCCACACTTCCTAATGTATGGAGCGGTGTATACAGACATGTTCTTCCTGGTATTTTAGTTAACATTCAACCCACGTAACACCCATTAGGAAAGCAGGTCTAAATGTCATCCAGCTTCAGAGTGAATGTGAATTAGGGTAGAATTCTACTAAAGGATCCTTCATTTATTCCTATATGAACAGAAGTTAACTTCAGAGGGATTTTCTGTAATACGGTTGGGAAAGCAGCATTTTACAGACTAGCTGCTTGGTACATAGCACATGTTTTGACAAAGGTGTTTGACAAGAGCTTTAGGACATGCATAATCCAAGCCAGTAGTTTTAAGATATCTACAGTGTTTAAATATTACATGTAACAACTGACATGCTCAAAAACCCATTCTTAACTAATGTTAGAAAACATAACATGTAAGTGACTTCTTAGATTACTGTTTCTGGAAAGTTACTAATTAATTTCATATTGTTCCTTTTCTAACCTATACCAATAATTTGATTGGTTTAGTATTGCAGCCATTCAGTTGATTTGTAATGGTCATTTTGTCATTCTTTGGTTTCACATTCTGCTTTCTTTTATTTCCCAAATCATGGAGCAACAAATTGTGTCAGTGGCTGATATTAGAGAATCAGCACAACACTGTGCCTCATCAGTCTGATGTTGTAGCTGTACTTGTTAAAAAACACCACTAGAAAGTGATTCTTTATCAGTGCTCTAGTGTGCTATGCTCACATTGCAGGTAAGAATGCATTGGTTCTTAATGTTGGGTCCAGGCATCTTGCTCCACTTCTTCAATAAGGTCACCATGGTTTTTTCTAGTTTCTGTAATAGTTTCTATTGTATCTATATTTGGTTGAAAGGAGGAGATCTTTTCAATAACTTGCTCTTCTTTTAAAGCCTCATTGCCATTCACATTCTGCAGTGTGCTTGCTGTGTAAGTAGAGTAATGGCTGTTCAGGAATAATATGGAAGGCTTGAACCACAGTGAAGGAAAACCTTAATACACTGCAGTATAGTTGTAGACACTTGATTTCTGCTTACATAAACCTTGTTATGAAATAAATATGCAAATCTTCCTTATTGTTAGGTTCTTGTAGACGTCTCCCTCATGGGATGAGGCCAAGTAGGTTTCAATGTAATAGAAAACCAAGAAATTGCAGTGTAAGTATAGCTTCTCACATTTTATAGCTTTGGGTCCATTTTATAGATTTGGGTCAGTTTCCAGTGCTGCTTTGTGTATCACTATCTTCATGTTTCTGCAGCCATCTAGAGACTTGTGGACATTTGAACAAGCTTCTTTTGAGCAACATTTCAAGCCAAATACTACTCCTATTTCCCAAACTTTATAAGAAGGATACATTTTTAGTGTACCTTTCATCTTCCCACACTGCTGTAAGTGTAGGGGGATTTTGACGGATGTCCACTTCTTGAAGTGCAGGTGGGAGATAGATACTTTATGCATCCCCAGAAAAAAACAACAGACTAATATGAAGACAGGAAGGGCAAAATATTGAGGTCATAATATTATTCAAGCCCAATACAACCTGTGTTTTTCTGTGCAGCTGCAAGCTTTCTGCAGTTTTCTTAGATGGGGACTGTAAGAGGTAACTGATTTTTAAAAGAGCATGGTTTCCTAGAGGCTGTTCCCTGGAAGACATCACCTTCTCTAGAAGAGAAGTGGTTCTTGTCTTGTACTGTTGTACTCCAAAGAACTATCTCCAAACCCCTACTAGGGAGCGGTAAGCTAATTAAAGAATCACCTTGAAGGAAGGGTTGTCAGGTTGATCAGGAGGAAGACCAAGTTACTACACTGTGCAACAGCCTCAGCTGTTCATTAGGGTCTGTTCTTTTCACCTCAGTTGGAATACTCAGCTGCCCAGCATCACGGGGCCAGAGACAAGCTGTAGAAACAGAAATTTCATTAACACAACATTGCAACATACAACTTTTTAACTGTGTCACCAATTCTTGCTAGTAAGATGTTAAATTAAGGTCCATTGGACTTCTTAAATAGACTTTTAATCTTTAAATTAACACCTCTGTAGTTTTAATACCAGAAGAAACAGATAACTTGCACATTGTTCATGTTCCTGACTCCACTGATTATCTTTCATGATTCGTTCTTGGAAAACCAGAGCTCTGGGAAGCTAAACAAAAGCTCTTATCGTGATGCTTGAATGCAGTAAAGGAGAATAAATGTAACAGAACCTTTGAACTGGCCTCACAGGCAGTCTCCCAAGTTTTGCTCAGAACTGAATGGGTGGATGGCTGCTGCAGGTGTCTTATTTCTACTTGCTTAATTTTACCCTAAGCTGTATTAAAATTAGCTTCCAAGTGTTCTATAACCTAGAAAGATGGAAACCATTTGGGTTTCACGAAGAATGTTTCCAGCCATTGTAAACCAATGTAAGAAATGAAGAAACAGATTAATTTTTATATATTTTTTTTTAAGTCTTGGTGTGATAGATACTGTTTCTGAAGATGCTGCAGTCCGTCAGCCTCCTAGGACATGTACCACATCCACTGCGTAAGGGGCAGTGATCCCCACCAGTGCTACGGCACTGGTTCAGTGAGCACCAGCCTCTAATGCTGTACTTCTGACTGCCCCGAAGTTCCTGAGCTTGCTTATCCTTCTGTCTTCATAGCACGCATTTCCAAACTCCAGTACCAAAGACTGGACAAAGACATGAAGATATATTCTGCTAGAACCAGTTGGTAGTGCCCATCTAAGTGGTGTATCACAGGGTTTAGGCATACTCAGATTGGCAAGGATCTCTGGAGTTCACCTAGCCCGACTTTCCACCCAAAGCATGATGAACATCAACATTGCTCAGAAAGAAGAGAGGGAGGTGTTTCATTTCTTACCATGTCTGCCAATGTCATAGGTACCGGTCTCCTATAACAAACAGATCTTAAAACCTCTCTTGAAACATAGCTGCATCTCTAAATCTGGGATTTGGCAGGTAAATGTGTGCAGAAGCAGCAAATAAGCATGGACATTGTTCTTTGCACATGTACGTGGCTTTCCATCCATTAAAGAATATCCTCTATTCAGGTTAGTAAGGGAACTAAATCCAGCTAAAATAGCTGATAAAGTCAGAAGTCTCTCCTTTTCTGTTCTGATATTAGAAATTTTGAACATTTAGGAGTCTAAAATTACTCTTTTGGTGATACAAAGCTACAGTTAAGACCACATCTATCAGCTAAGATTCCTATTTCCAAACCAAGGAACATTCCTACATTTCCTAATAGGACTTAATATAGCCTAATTATTCCTAATAGGACTTAATAAGAAAAAATTCAGCTTTTTCAGTGAACTCTTCTGGGCCTTTTCTTTCTGTTTTGAGAGGAACAGATTGAATCCCCTGACATTTTCCAGACACCCTTCCAGAAATAATGACATCAGCTGTTCTTTTACGCAGAAAAGTCAATTATGTGACGTAGTTAATGAAGGGGGCAAATGTGCTTTGCTAGGACACGAGTTTCCATTCGAACGGACCAGTAACTCTTGGCCTGCATGAACAACATTAGTATTCTGGGCTCCTCCAAGGAACAGTTACTCGCCATTTTTTTTCCCCATAATAGTTATGATTTCTGTATCCTTTGTCAAAACACCTGACAAATACCTTTTTATGTTTTAAATTAGCAACAACTACACTTCTTATACGTGACCATCTTAATGTTGTCTTTGATACCCAATGAACCATACTCTATTAATAAGGGGGTGAATACAGGTAAAATTCATTGTGATGTTCAACTGTTATTTTACAGATGAAACCAATCTGTTTTACACATTCCCTTCAAAGTCCTGGCATTTTTCTCAGAGATATCTATATATTTTACACAGTTTTTCAATCTACTGCTTTTGCAACATACAAATTCAGCTTCATGCAGGGACTTTGAAATCATTTCTTTGGTTTGTTTTCATTACAGATTAAACCAAGAGCATATAAATGTGTCTATAGGCACTGGATCTTTCATCTAGGAATGCTTGATTCACTTTCCCAGCTGTCCTTACTTTTAGTGCAGATGTTGTTCACCCACTACAGGAGGGACTGTAACACTTTCCTACCAGTCACCACGGAATTGCTGCTGTACTCTCCCCTCCCAACTGCTCAGGTGTGGTTACATTTCCAATTACAAACCATTCCTGCATCTCCTATCGAGGCCTCAGGGAAAGCCCCGGGATTACTTCATCTCCAGTCACTCCCTTACTTCTCAGAAGTCACAGCATCTTTTCTTACATCCCATCCAGTCTTCAATGACCACCTCAAACTATTAGTTTCTTGTAATGTCAGTTACTTTCCCCATACTTAGAGCTCTTAAATTAAAATCTGTATCAGCCTCTGCCTGTACAGTTTAAATGTTCACCACAGCTGGAGACATCCAGGTCCCAGAAAAAGCAGCACAGGGAAGTAACACGTGTAACACAGCAACACAGCCTGTTTGCTTCTCTTAGTCACAGACCAAAGCATGGACCTTAAAAATTCCCCTGATTTGCAGTGAAACTCATTCCTCCTTGCTCTGCACTTACCAGTCATTATCATATCTTCTGTATTTCATTTTTCTTTTCCATATGGAACCCATGTATCACTATTCTCTCAGACTCCTTGGGCACTGTGACTTGCAAGCCCTCTGTCTGCCCAATGTGATCCTCTCGTACTGCAGCATCCTGACAAACCCTTTTTCTTCCACTGCATGACAAGAGTTCCTTACCTTTCTTTACCCTTCCTTCAGCTGCCCCAACTCTGTCTTTCCCAGCACCGTTTAGGCTGGGTCTTCATAAAGGTCTAAGCAAGGGATCATTCTGAATACTTACAGTATCAAACATACTGTGTAAGAGAACTGTGTCTGGGCAATGGCAGAGTAGTTTCTCCTTCAAACATGATGATCTCTTTGCAGTTACTGGTATCTTATAATTACCCTGGCTCCTTTAGTAATCCCATCCCATTGCCTTTCGTATTCATCAGAGTTAAACAGCATCTCTCATTCTTGCAGCCCAAATTTCAAGTATTTGCCTTAGCCACAGTAGCAGCAGAGGGCACTCATTAAAGGGCCCTATCACTGAAAGGTGTTCTGTTTTGTCACAGTGTTGTGTTGAACTGAACATGTAGTTTCTGTTAGTACTGCTGATATATATAATCAGTCTCATAGTTTCATGCAAATATGTGTTAAGTGCATCTCAAAATACAGTTTTTGGGTGGTAAGAGGAATTAATTCCATAGGATTGGTTACCGAAGTGTGTTATCAATGAAAGATAGAAGCGCTGTGAATTAAGTGAGCGTCATTAGAGTGCCCCATGGTTTTACTGGCATCTGCAAAAGTAACGTATTTGATTTTATGAATTACAGATGTCTTTTTTCTATGACACCTTCCTAGTGGAAACTGCAGGATTTTGAAGAGCTGAACGAGGTGCTGAGAGAAATATAAAACCTGCCTGCTTTAAAATGGTATTTTAAAACTAGGACAGACTGTAAATAGACTGTTTGTAAACAGGATGCTCTGTGCATGTTTAAACTTTGTCAAGTCCTCTGAAGTGGGGGAGCTGGCAGTTTGACACTCCTGTTAGTCACTCACAGCTTTTAAAAACGGGTGGTGTTACCCAAAGTATGTTTTAATTCTTACATAAAACATTAGTGGTCGCTGCTAACTGTCATTACCTGTTTTACCAGGAAGGAAATTGGACTGCATTCTCTTAAAGACAAAAAGACAACAAAACCCTCCCAATGTGGAACAGTCACCTTGTTAGCATCTTTGCCAAGGAATAGCAGGTTCAGGTCTCTCCGAGAGTCCCAGCAGCAGTAGCAGGAGGGGAGGCTGAGCCCATGCAGTGCTGGGTGTGAACTGGTGCTCTGCTTCCTCCCAGCACTCCCAGTGGTAAGAGCCCCTCCAGCTCCAGCAACCCATGACTTCCACTCCACCAGGCTGTCTCCCAGGTCCGGTCAGGTATTGAACTGACCAACAATGTCCTGCAGTGGAACCGCTTTTAAGCCTTCCTGATCTTTTACTCATCTATTTGTGACATTTCACTTTGGGAGCAGCAGTGATCTTGATGACCTGGTGCCTTCCTTTCTCTTTATACACATTGGCTCCTATCCTCTACTCAGTAAAACACCAAAACACACCATAACTTCCTGTCATTCCAGACATGGCACCTGACTCAGCACTTGTTCACTGTTAGGTTCCGTGTACCTTTGGCCAACAGTATTTGTTCAAGTCTGGCAGTCAGGGGATTTCAACAACATCAAAACCTGGCCAAGTGACAGAAGGTCATCAAGGGAACATGGCTGTGGTTTTTAATGCCATGAGCATTTGAATCCGCCTCAGGGTGTGAAAAGGGCAGCTATGCTTGAAAATACTGTCTTCAAGAAACAGAGCATCTCCTCTACTGAAGCGGACATGAAGTTCTGAGCTCTCAAAGCTGCTTCTTTTTATCCCTAGCCATAGAACTGTGCTTCCCCCACATGTTCTGCTGAACACAGCAGTGCCTCCTAAAGAAAGTTTATATATAAACTTGGAGTCATAGAAGTATTTAAACCTAGCAATCTGGTCAGAACCCCGTCCTGCAGACCTTAATCCTGTCTAATCCTTTGGCAGGACCTTGCTTGAGGCAATTTGTTTCACAGGCATTCCAAATAATGATTTTAATGTAAGTGGAAGGTGAGCAAAGTGAGGTTTTCTTCACACAATTGTGAAGCACAGAACTGTTGCTTCTGTGGTTGGGTAAGGGGTGGGAAGGTTAATATAGTGAGAGGGGGAAAAACTCCTCTCTGAAAATCATATGTTTTGTACTGGACAACCAAACATCCGATGCCCGTCACACTGCCATCAACGCATTCTAACAGTCAGTCATTAATAACACCCTGAAATCGGGTCTTGCCACACGATTTCAACATCTTCCCTTCAACTACACAAGCTGGGGAGCTAACACAAATAGCCAAGGCACCAGCCTACAGCAGAATGCCCAACTGAGGAGCTGAGGGTCACCCTCTCTAGCCAAAATAGCCCTGCCAGTTCCCAAAGCAGGGCTCTATTTCCGGTCCTTTTGCTAGGGATTGGATGGGAGTGAGAGAAGTTTAAAGTTTTCACTGGCCATTAGTACTTACATGTAAGTAGCTTGAGGCTGCAAGAGTCCTCCAGCACTTTTTTGACTCTGTTGGACCTTTTCAGGTCCCATTTACCTGCAATAAAGAAGGAACTTCCGAAGCCAAAGAGATAGGGATTGTGCATTTTGCAAGTACCGAAACACCTTCGTAAAACTCACTGGTCCTTGTGCAGCTGGGCAGAAGGCAGGAGGATCCCTTGCTATTGATTCTTGCCTTCTTCACCCACCGCCTTCTCTCTTACCAGCACAGCTGATGGGTGTCTGCTGCAGAATTTGCTACACTGGGGAGAAACCTTGGGTGAGGTTTGGCAGGTAGGCAGCTTTCCACAGCCTGAAAGATGGGCACAACCCAGTTCGTACAAAGACTCCTACTGGGTCAGATACAAGCACATCCATGCAGTGTGTTACTGCTAATGTAGTCCAACTGCTGTATGCCTGGCAGCTCCTTCTTAATTATTAATACTATCATTTTTATTGTCACTTGTGATCCATAGCTATGAGAAACACCAGCATGCAGGGCTGCAGGTGCCTTGCCTTAATAGCCTTGACACGTACTGCAGAGGGATTGCGGCTTCGCAAGAGTGAATTAACTCCTCTTATTGTTGAAACAAAAATGGCCAGTGCCATTGTGAATAATAGCTGTGGTGGTTATGCTTTTATTTCCCCTGAAACAAACACAGATGCTCCCCAGGCAGGTGCACTGCAGAAGCAACAAGTGTTCTGTAGAAATAACAAATGCTTATAGCCCACTGAAGGGACTGAATTCAGGATGAGTTTTACTTATCTGAACAGCTGAATTAAATACTTGCTGAACACCAGTAGCCTGCACATTTAGAATGGAAATTTGCCCGTTTTTCTTTGCCTCTCTGATATCCTGCTTTCTTTGTAGAAATACCTCTTTTTTTGCATCAGCTGCACTGCAGCCACATTGCTTTTCAGGATGGCATATCAATAATAACAAGGTCTTATGTCAATTTTTATCCTTATCAGTACGGATCCAGTCTTCCCTAGCAGAAATCCAACACTAGCTGGGAAGATGAAGTTTTAGTTTGCATTTTCACGTTCTAATCAGCTGATGAACATGGTATGAGCCACAGAAATACCTAAGAGAGAAGATTTCCAGAGCTGTCACTTGGAGCACACGCAATTCCTTCAGTTGTTCAGCAGAGCACGGAATAGCCCAAGAAATCTCATGTTCCTTACCTGCTCTGTGCTTCCCACAGAGCGTGTATGCCCACGTGTCATCCTGAACCTGTCTGTTGCCTAGAGATTGGGAAGGGATGACACTGTAATGTTGCTGTTCTCCTGCTCTGCTGACCCACATCCTGCGCTCGGGCTTTTGCTTTTCTGATGTAACATACAGCATTCCTACAGACCTGTTTGACTTGTGTTAAAAACAGCTGTGCAAATAGGTGACCTGACACCTATTGAAGGACATGTGGGATAAGTTTACTGTGGTGCCTTCCCAATAGCTGACGTATGACCTTATTTTGCAGGTCATGGACTGTGCAATGCCTCTGATCGGTGAGCACCAGACTGAAGACCGGCAACATATAACTGAACTAGTCGTAAGCAAAATGAACCAAATGTTGTCCAAAACTCCTATACCATCTCCTCAGAGACCCACTGCCACGCAGCAGCCCCAGGTAGGAAACTTTTGATTGTAAAATAGGGCATCTTATTCCATAATTTTAAGCTCAAAGTTCTCCTCAAAGAATTTGGCTGGAAAACTGTGCAGACATACCTTCAACTACAAGGATTAAAGAACTTCTCGACATGTTTTATAGGTTTGTCGTATTAAATGAGATCATCTCCAGATATAATCAAGAATTGGAAGTGTTGGTGTGTTTTTACCAGTAAAATGATAACTGGATTCAGTGAATTGCCAGGCTTTGTACTGTTTCGTTCCAGTTACATCTGTAATGGAAATAATAAGAAGCACTGTCATAGACAATCTCTGCCCCGACGATGTCAGAAAGAATACTAAGGCAATAGTTACTGTTCTTGTAAGAAATGAATTACATGATAAACTTTTGTGTGCTGCAATTCACAGAAATACCTTACAGACCTAGGAACTTCCTGAAATATGTTTAGCATACTGGAAAACTAGTGTCTAAGGTTGAAAAGAGATGGATTTCACTTGTTTTATCTTACATGGCCTGATAGTTAAAGTGTGGGGATGCAGAATTCTGCCCTAGCCTTGCTACCAGCTGGCTTTCAGACTTTGGAAATCATCTTTGTGTTTCCATTTCCATGCTTGGGAAATGTGAAGTTTATTTTATTGGTCCTTTAAATAACTTCTGAGAGTGTGGTATTTTTGTAAAAGGCTCTAAAAAGTGAAAGTTTTGCCTCGGAATTGGAGAGACAGGATTTGATGGGTGGACTATTAGATGGTTACGGAACTGGCCAGATGACTTTGTCCAGTTAGAGTCAATGGCTCAGTGTTCAAATGGAAACCAGGAACAAGCAGTGTCCCTCAAGGGTCAGTAGTGAGACCAGTCCTGTTTAACATCTTCATTAATGACATACGTAGCGGCATTGAGTGCACCCTCAGCAAGTCTGCAGAGGACACCAAGCTGAGTGATGCGGTTGACATGCTGGAGGAAAGGGCTGCTGTCCATTCTGCCCCTCTGCTGCGCTCTGGGGAGACCCCCCCTGCAGTCCTGGTCCAGCTCTGGGGCAGCAGCACAAGAGGGACGTGGAGCTGCTGGAGCGAGGCCAGAGGAGGCCACGGAGCTGCTGCGAGGGCTGGAGCAGCTCTGCTCTGGAGGCAGGCTGAGAGAGCTGGGCTGGGGCAGCCTGGAGAAGAGAAGGGTCCGAGGTCAGACTAGATGATTTAGTCTGTTAGATCTAGTCTAGACCTAAAGTTCTGTTCTAACCAAAGCATTCTGCCATTCTATGATTCTTTGAAAAGTGCTATATAAATGCTAAGTAGCATCTTTTATATTTTCATAGCTGGGCAGCAGGTCTGATCAAAGAGCAGCATTATCAGCTACTTCTAATATACTGAAGGGACAAACCATGACAATGCATTCTGAGAAGAAACTATTAAGGACTGTATTGCTCCTCTGTACCAGTGCAGCTCCATGGTAATCAGTTAAGGAACAGAAGGAGCCAAACTGTAATACAGGAATTACCAAGCCTAAATCAAGAATCTTTTTTTACTCCCAGTAGGCTCCACAGCAGGTAAACAATTTGAAACCAATTTTGTGGCATACCTCAGACAGACTAGTTCTTGAGGCAGAATGACTAATTTGTTCTTCAAATATATCATCAGGCTTTAAGTTATAAAAATACACCATCCCACATAAAAAAGTGGTGTGGCTTCTATTTATATTACAGCCACTTGAAACTAAGCACAAAATTGTTTCAGCCACCGAACCACATACAATGGAGAAGTTTCCATCCAACATGACTCAAGTCCATTGTAAAGGGCACTGAAAAAGAAAGTCTAGAGGGGAAAAAAATAAATCACCTTATACCAAATTACAGTTTCTTTTGGGGCTAGTAAATGAGCTGTATATTAAAATGAAGCAAAGAGTCAAATTTAGAGTTGCCTAGAGCATACAAGTTAACATAAATCTGAATTTAAAACAGTAATAGACATTATTGTAACATTCGTCGGTTCATTTGGAAGTCATTTGGAGAGCTTGATAGTTCACATTCTGAGGATAAAAATACAATCCCTTGAGGATGTCTGATTCCTGGATTTTAAAGGTGGCAAGGGAGCAGGGATGTTTGTGACTACTGGTGCTATCAAAAGCAGTGTTGTGTGTAAATGAAGGCTTTACTAGTTGCCAAAGAAAAAAACTGCCTATGTAAGTCCAGGATGAAAATAAGACATAAAGACATCTTAAGCAAGTTCTGAATTCCTCAGTCATTGCTGTCACTCATCATGTCCATGAAAAGGGCTTTTCACTCTTAAAGAAAAAAGTTGGGGATGACCCCAAATTATTTTCCCCCGGCTTCTGAGTGTCTATTGGATTGCTAGTTTAGGTTTCTGAAGAAATCAGCCTTTGCTAATGGCAAAAGGATGTTATTCAACACTAATCCTCTTTTCCTTATCCTATCCTTAAGTTCTGGATTGCAGTTGATCAAAGATATCCCAGGATATCCCTTTGGAATACATGCAGTATTTAGTAGTTGTCCTCTCAGTTAACCAGACTGTGCTTCCTTAAATTTTTCCCTGTTCTATTATCTACCAGTTTACAACAGACAAAGGGGATCCGAGTTTCTGCAGAAGATAAGTTTGCAAATACCCATCAATCTTCCTAGCTTTAAATGACAACTATGAAACAGATCTGTAGTCTTTAAATCAGGTATCTTCCCATGTGCACTTAATTTTCAGCTGGGTTGTTTTCCCAAGAACAAGACCAGCCTGTTAAAACAAGCTGTGCTTTTCATCTTTGAACAGCCTTTTCCTTTTCTAATCTGAGAAATCAGTTCTTTTGCTTGGGAAATACAGTCCATTCATCTGTGGGGCAGGGGGATACTGCATATTTCTACAGGTCACATAAAATGCAAAGCCAGTAATTTATCCCAAATCAACTATGTGCATATGTACGTGTGGTCTTAGAAACCAAAGTAATATAAATATCAAAGAGTAATCTGTGTGTTTTGCTACTTCTGCTTTTAAAGGAACAGTTTACAGTCAATAGTACAGCTGTAGGTGTGCCATGGCTTGAATTCCCTTATTATCTGTGTGGAGTTTAAAAATCATTCATCATCTCCACACTGCTGTGGCACTGGGTGCACCCTGTCTAAGAGAATGCTTCAGTTTATGACTGCCCACAGTGGGCAGCACTATTCCAATTAACTATCCATCAGAAAACAAATCAGTGATTAGGAAAATAAGGCTTTGTTTAGAGCAAGGAAGCCAAATCTTGATGGAAATGATTGGCCTTGCAATGTGTTCTGAAGGCCAGCAAAGTTCTCTCTGTCAGAGTTCCAGAGGGAGCAAATGCCAAAGGCAGGGACCTCGGACAACAGGCTTGCTTATGTTGAAACCTTGGAAGTGCAGATCCTGTGATTCTTAAACCCATTAGATCTATGATCTGTGCTATCAGATACATTGAG